CCTATTGGTGGCTCAGTGGCAGCTCAGCTTGGTTGCAGCTCACTAACCCATGTGGGAATTAAACCGGAGACCCTGTTGCCCAGAGCTCACTCTCTTAACTAACTGAGCCACTCTTGGCCAGCCCCATAAACACTGTTTTTGAATGGGAGATCTATGCATGTCGTTTAACATTTCAAAGGTGCAAAGTAGTATATAGTGAAAAGCAAGTCAACCTTCTTCCCTGTCCTTGTCCACCTGCCACCCAATTCCACTTTCCAGAAGCAATCACAGTTACCTGCTTCTGTGTTTCCTTTCAGAGATTCTTTGTGCATGCACAAGCATACACATGCAAATGTATCTCTTATCCTCCCCCACCCCCAAGTGTTCACCCCCTTTGCTCTCTATTCTGTACCTGTCTTGTTTTTACTTAATGATGTGTCTTGGAGATTTCCACAGCTGTACACATAAGGCTGCCTTTAACAGTGGCACAGAATTCCACTATATGGATAGTCCATTATTAATTTAAACATTCCTTCAGTGATGATATTTATTTTTTTGCACACGAACTTTCAACGTAAATTCCTCAAATGCTATCATTTTGCACATGTGCTACATTCCTTTTTGCTCCCATGCCCGGAGTCAGTCTGAAAGTAAAGCTGAAGCTCTAGAAGGGCAGAGCCAAGGGAAAGAATCACAGAAAATGAAACTGGAACCACAATAACACTGAGACTCTGGATTGAACTGTAACTGAAGTTCAATCAGTTATAGAGCCAATAAATTCTCTCCCTTGCTCAAGCCAGTTTGGTTGGTTTTGTTTGTTAGTTAGTTAGTTTGTTTGTTTTTACTTGTAGCATAAAAAGTTCTTATTTGCACATGTTAAAATTCTCACAAGTGAAATGTGAAGTGAAGAAAGTATAATGAAAATTGCATGACAATTTGCTATCAATTATCTTAAAATATAAACATCATTAAAAAAAAAACGGAAGGTGATACACCAAAATGTTAACTGTGGCTATGGGTTGATTGTAGGAAATCTGTGTTTGTCCTTATATTTTTCTGAAGTTTTAAAGTTTTCTACAATAATAGGGATTACTTTCATAGTCATTTGTCTCAAGGCAGGTTCCCTGGAAGCAGAGCCTGAGAAAGGGATTTGGGGCATATGATTTGCAGAGGAAGTGCCCTGTAGGAAAAACCTGTAAGGGAGTAAGGGAAGCAGAATTGTGAAGGGAAAGAGACCATGTCAGGATAGGGTCTGAGGATACGTCTATCTTTGGCCTAATTTGGGAGTGGCCCTGGAGTGCAAATTGGGCCACAGAGATACCCTAAGACAAGGGGCTGGCCTTTTGTATGCTTAGATCAGGCAGTCATTGGCTACCCCTCTTGGTGGGGGTGTAACTTGCTGGGTAGTTTCCAGGTGAGGAGGCTCCTGTTGGCCAAGGGCAATTCTCCAAAGAAGGTATATGAGGAACATAAGCCTTACCTACCAGCAGGGCTGCTAAATGGTATCCGGGTGAGACCCCAACAGTGTCTACAACAATCACTTACAAAGCTATTTTTTAAAAATGAAAGAAAAAAATAAAGCAAACTATTAGAGAAATTAAGAAAACAATACATTTATAATTGCATTAAAAAACATATCTAGGAATAAATTTAACCAAGGAAGTAAAAGATCTGTATTCAGAAAACTATAAGACAGGGAAGAAAGAAATTGAAGAAGATACAAATAAATGGAAGCATAAACTGTGCTCATGGATAGGAAAGACTAACATCAATCACTAAAATGTCCATACTACCCAAAGCACTTTATAGATTCAATGCAATCCCTATAAAAAAACAAATGGCATTTTTTTTTCATATAACTAGAACAAATAATCTTAAAATTTGTATGGAACCACTAAAGACCCCAAATAGCCACAGCAATCTTGAGAAAGAAGAACAAAATTGGAGGTATCATCCTATGTGACATCAAATTATACTACAAGTCTATAGTAATTAAATAGCATGGTATTGGCATAAAAATAGACATACAGATCAATGGAACAGTATAGAAAGCCGAGAAATAAACCCATGCCTGTATGGTCAATTAATCTATGAGAAAGGAAGCAAAGTTATACAGTGGGGTAAAGACAGTCTAGTCAATAAATGGTGTTGAGAAAACTGGACAGATACATGCAAAATAATGAAACTAGACCACCTTCTTAAACCATATACAAGAATAAACTCTAAGTGGATTAAAGACTTAAATGTAAGACATGAAACCATAAAACTCCTAGAAGAAAACATAGGCAGTAAACTCTAACAATGCTCTTAGTAATATTTGTGTGTGTGTGTGGTATATCTCCTCAGGCAAGGGAAACAAAAGAAAAATAAACAAATGGGACTACATCAAACTAAAAAGTTGTTTCACAGCAAAGGAAACCACCAACAAAACAAAAAGACAGCTTTCTAAATGGGAGAAGATATTTGCCAATGATATAATGATATATCTGATAATGGGGTAATATGCAAAATTTATAAAGAACTCATACAACTCAACACCAAAAAAACCTCAACAACAACAAAAAAAACAGTTAAAAATGGGCAGAGGGGCCGGCCAAGTGGTGTGATGGTTAGTAGTTGGCTTGGGACACCAGCTCTGAGCAGCAGGGTCCCGGTTCAGATCCCACATGAGGGCCAGTGAAGCTGCGCCCTCTACAGCTAAGATGGTGAACAACAGCTCAACCTGGAGCTGAGCTGCCATAAGTCACTGGCGATGGTGTAGGCTGTGGTGGGGCTGACTGGCAGCAGACGTGAGCTTTCATGAGCTGCCATGTGCGGCCGTCCAATGGCCGGCGAGCAACTGCCTCACCTGGGAAAAGCGCAATGATAATACCAACATGGGACAGTGAAGTGATGTCCTCCACAATTAGACTGAAGAACAAAAGGACAGCAACTTGTCTGTTCTCCTTTCCTGATTCCCCAATAAAATCTTAAAATAAGTAAATAAATAAATAAAAATAAATAAAAAAGGAAAAAAAATAGAGGGGCTGACCGAGTGGCTCAGTTGGTTAAGAGTGCGAGCTCTGAGCAACAGGGTCGCTGGTTCAAGTTCCACATGGGCCAGTGATGCTGCGTCTGAGCTGAGCTGCTGCTGACCTGCTGACAGGTGGCCGATGGTGATTGGACTTGGAGCTGAGCTAGCTGCGCCCTCCACAACTAAGATTGAAGGACAGCAACTTGACTGTTTCCCTCCCCAAATTCCCCAATACTGTTCCCCTTCGCCAATGACTCCAATAAAACCTTAGAAAAAAAAAATTAAAAGTAGAACTACCTTATGACCCAACAATTCCATTTCTGGATATTTACCTGAAGAAATGCAAAACACTAATTCAAAAAGATATATGCACCCTTATGTTCACTGCAGCACTATTTGCAATCGCCAAGATATGGAAGCAACCTAAGTGCCCATCAACAGACTATCAGATAAAGAAGATATGGTATATACAAAGGGTGCCAAAAAAATGTATGCACATTAAAAAAGGAAAACTGTATTAAAATTGTAATACTCAATACATACCAATAACAAAAGATGAATACAAGTCACATTTGACTTCTGCAATTACAAGAGGTGCTCAGAGTGATTACCATCAGCATCCAGACACTTCTGATTAAGGCACACTACTGCTTGAGCAACATTGACCAAAGTGTCCACTTGTATACATTTTTTTGGCATCCCCAGCATATACAATGGAATATTACTCTGGCATAAAAAGAATGAAATCTTACCATTTGCAACAACAAATGGTAAGATTTGTTGTTATTTCATTTATGCTAAGTGAAATAAGTCAGACTGAGAAAGACAAATACCATATGATCTCACTTATATGTGGAATCTAAGAACAAAATAAATGAACAAGCAAATCAGAAACAGACTCATAGATACAGAGAACAAACTGATGGTTGCCAGAGGGGAGGAAAGGTTGAGGGACGGGGTGAAAAAGGTGAAGGGGTTAAGAAATACAAATTGGTAGTTACAAAATAGTCATGGGGATGTAAAGTACAGCATAGGGAATATAGTCAATAATGTTGCAATAACTATGTATAGTGCCAGGTCAGTATTAGACTAATCCGGTGGATCACTGCATAAATTACATAAATGTCTAACCATTATGCTGTAACCCTGAAACTAATATAAAATAATATTGAATGTCAACTGTAACTGAAATAAATACATAAATAAATAAGTAAGTAAATAAATAAATAAATAAATAAAATTGAAAAACAAAAAGAAAAAGAAAGCAAAATGCAAGACTGATCCTACAGAGGCCAACTTTTATCACCGTTGACTTCTCTGCCTTCTACACATGCAGCTCGGCCATCACTGAAAGAGTTAAGAATGTTTAAGTCTTGGCTCTACATAACAGAGAAATGGGACTGGCTTACCAAGTTGCAAATCATACTGTTTCTAAACCTAGGACTCTTCATTAAAATAACTATGAAAGAAAACAGTGCTTTTTTTCCATTCCTTTTAAAATCTGGAGCTCTTAGCTAATTGAAAGGAGAAGCTTTGAAAACAAATCCCTTGACTTGCAGGGTCAAGGTACTGCTGGGTCAGAGGTTTTCACTTCTGTAGGAGAAGCCCTCACCTGGCTCATCGGCTGCCTGCCTTGCTCTGTCTTCTAAGGAGCTGACTTGTTATTTTGGATTGGGTTACTTGGGGCCAGAAAAGAGAAGGCGATGAGTTAGGGAGAAGGGCCTGGAAATTCCAGGTCTTCTCTACTCTTTCCCCCAGTCCACTCCTCAGCAGATTCTCCTCCAGTGTCATGGAATATTCCTGCAGCCCTTGAGGATCACCACCGTGGAGACTGGGAGTTGGGTTCTGTTGCTCTGGTGACCAGTTGTCCGGAGCCTCCGCATTGGAGCTGCCAGGGTCCTGGGAAGAGGCAGGTCTGTGTGGCCCATGCTGGGAGGAAGGCTTCCAGCAGAAGGAGAAGGTAGCAAAAGAGTGGAGTCCTAGTCTTGGCTGTACTTTCACCTCAGCGATGCCCACCCTTTCAGTGTTCATGGATGTACCCCTAGCCCAGAAGCTAGAAGGCAGCTTGTTAGAGACCTACAAACAAGACAATTGCCCTAAGAAGATATTCCTGGCCTATAGAGGTAGATGCCTAGTAGTTTTAGAGAGTAAGACTTAGTGTATCATAATTGCCTCTAGGAGGGCAGCATTCCACTGTCACAGAGGGATTGAGAGATAGCCCACCTTCCTCAAGTGAAGAGGCCTGCTCTGGGTAACAGTTTCCCAGTGGGAAAAATAGCAGAAAACGCCCTTAGGCATTCTTTGCCCTCTGCCCTTCTTTGGGGACTTTCAAAGATTTGGTATAAGTTATGTCCTATTCCCCAGCTCTGTGTAGGGCCTGCATGGGCACCGCCCTTTCTTGTCTCCCTCTCCCCTTCTGTTCCTGAACCAAGAATGGGTCCTCTAATGAACTCTTCTAACATGCAGCCCGCCCTTGCCACTGTGCAAGTCAGTGTCACCTCTGTTTAGGGAACAAAGGTACCTATAATTCCCACATTGTATACCATTTTTGCTCTTTAAAATGGCATAGGTTTCAGTTGTCTTCCTTAAAAAGACAAAAATTATACATATTCACTAACTGCACATTGTTTTATAAAGGGGAGGGGAAAAAAGGAAAGTTGTCTTTTCCTAGGCAACTTTCCAAAGCCCCCAAGAAAGCCAGGACTGAGGGCTGTCTGCAAAGCCGGGACTTGGAGGCCCCAAGGTCCGGCCTCCAGAGCTCCCCCTGTGGTTCCCCTCACAGTCTGCATGACCAATGAAGGCCAACCCTGGGTTTCCTCCGTGGTGCGTAAGATCCGCCTGCAGATCGCGCAGGATCCCTCCCTGAACTATGAGTACATGCCGGTGATGGGCATGAAATCATTCATCCAGGCCTCCTTGGAACTCCTCTTTGGAAAGCACAGCCGAGTCATTGTGGAGAACAGGGTAAGAAGAAGGACCACCCAGACACAGGGAGTAGAGATCTGGGATTGCATAATCATAACCCGGAAAGGTACTTTGGAGGGCTCCTTGGCATTGACACCTGAGGCTCAGAGAGTCCAAAGCTTTAGCCGTCGAAGGGCAGAGCCAGCGTCAGAACCCAAAGCCAGTCCCCTTTGCACCGGCCCACAGTGCTGCTGTGCAAGCTCTTTCAAGAAAGGAATGATCTGAATCCAAGGTGGTGCTAGTGTTACCATTACTTTTTTTTTTTTCTTAGCTGAGCCATCCTGCCACCTGTTGGCAGCTCAATGGGCAGCTCAGCTCGGGCCTGGCCTCGAACGGCTGTTGCTCAGAGCTCACACTCTTAAGCGAGCTCTTAACCAACTGAGCTACTTGGCCAGCCCTATCATTACTCTTTTAAAGTGCTCTTTCTTTTTTGTGCTGACAGGTAGGGGGTGTGCACACTGTTGGTGACAATGGTGCCTTTCAAATTGGGGCCCAGTTCCTCAAAACTTGGCATGGGAATTCTCAAATAGTTTACATCATTTCTTCTCAAAAAGGTGAGTGTTATGCAAGGTGAGGGTGACAGAAGATAGATCCTTGTCCTCTGTTTCTGATCCCCACCCCATTTACAATCTTTACTGTTGTACTTCTCACTCTCTGTCATGAGAAAAATGGACAAGCTGAGGTATGTTTGTGCTTTTCCTGTCACTGTCTCACCTTCAGCTAATGACCCTCAGGCCCATTCTCTGGTGTGTTTGCCTCCCTGTCTTCATTTCCCACGTGCCAGCTTGTAGAGGTCCGTGTTCCCACAGAACTGTATGGACTCGTCTTCCAGGACATGGGCTTTACAGTTTATGAATACTCCTTCTGGGACTCCAAGCAGCTGTGCATGAACCCTGACGTGCTCCTCGATGTGGTGGAGGTAGAAGGGCCCTGCTCAGAAACTTCTCCCTAGACCCGACTTACACTTTTATTTTCCTTTCCTGCCCTCCACCCCTGTAGTCATCCATGGCCTTTTCTAGGCTTGGATTTGCCTAGCCCTTTAGTGGGAACCTGCATGGAGGGTCACTTCTCCTCCAAATGCCCTGGTATTACTACCATTCAGTAGGGGAAGTACCTGATGAGACAGTCTCTACCTGCAGCAGGCCCCACGTGACTGTATCTTTGTGATCGGGAACATTGGCAACTGCAAGATGACACAACATCAGTGGGCAAAGTTGATGGCCACTATGAAGGTGAGCCCAATGTCCTGCCTGACTTTCCTCCCTCTCACCACCTACCATCGTTTCTATCAGTCCATCCTTTTTTCATTCTCCTTTCTCCTACAGAGCAAGCAGATATTCCCATTTTTTGATATTCCCCATCAAGGTTTATCCACTGGTGACCTGGAAGAAGACACTAAATTTTTACAATACTTTGTGTCTGGAGGCCTTGAGTTCTTCTGCAGCCAGTCACTGTCCAAGAATTTTGGCATTTATGGTATGGTATGGGCAGAGGAAGAAAGGAGGGGGTCTGGTGCTAAAGTGGTGCCAAATCCATGGCACAAATGATGTGTTTGACATCTCCTATCCTGTTGGAGAGAGCTAAGATCTCCAGAGAGAGCAGCACAGAGGCACAGGGAGGAGCTAGACATCAGGTTCTGTGGTATTGCCTTAGCTCAGCCAATACTAAAACTGGCTCCAGTCAAATGGTTTCACCCCCTTAGGCCTCTGTTTCCTCATCTATAGGATAAGGAGGTAGGACTTAGTGAACTTTCAAGTCCCTTTCACCTTTAAGACTCTTACTTATGGCTACTTTTTCTTGAAGAAGAGCATCTGGCAACTTCCTGGGGCCTGGATACCAGCTTGGCTGGGTGGGATGAGGGCCCTGTAGGTCATCCCTCTCTTCTGCAAGGCTGGAGGCAGAGTTATAGGGAAAGGCCTTATAGGGATGGCAGAGGAGACTAAGAATGAGGCTGTCTGTCTCAATGCTGCAGATGAAGGAGTGGGGGTCCTAGCTGTGGTGGCATTCAACAACCAGCTCCTGCTGGGCGCCCTCTCCCAGCTGATGAACTTCGCCCTGGCCCTGTGGCTAAACCCTCCTACCATGGGTGCTCGCATTATCACCTCCATCCTCTGTAACCCTGCTCTACATGAAGCATGGTAAGGGTGAAGGGTGGGGACAGGAAGGGATGGGCAGAGCCTCTAGATGCAAACAGACTTCCTGATTCACAGAATTCAGCTGGGTGCATCTTTTTTTGTCCGTGTTACCTCTACTCCATTTATTTATCAACATTTACTGAGAACCCATCATGTTCCAATGGCAGTGGCTATACCAAGGGTTGCCCTGCTTTAGGGGAGTGGGAAATAGGACATTCTTTTTGGACATAGGCTTATGAATTATTTGAACTATTCCAGAATGCAGGAGGAGATTAGGACGCATCAAGGGCTTGCTACTCTGGCAAGGTCTGCTTAAGAGCTTGCTTGGCCTGCTTAAATTAATACGGGCTGAAATCCCCCTCCCATTCATAACTATCCCAGACCCCTGACTCCACTGGTGTGCTGTCAGGCACTCTGGTTAGGGGCTTTTGAAGGGAAGAAGAGTGGAATGGCAATGAGGAGGTTGGGAACAGGGGGAGATCTCACACTCCAATTTCTTGCTGTTCTTTGGCAGGAAGCAGAATCTGAAAGGGGTTGTAGAGAACATCATGCTGATCAAGGAAAAGGTTAAGGAGAAGATCCGGCTCCTGGGAACCCCCGGCTCTTGGAATCACATCACTGACCAGAATGGGACCCATGGCTATCTTGGACTTGACTGTAAGTGTCTAGGAGGGGATAGCTCTCCCCTTTCTGACCTTGAGCCTATACTTGAGCATTAAACTCAGTGACTCGGTCACCAAGCCCTAGCTTCACACCAGATTTTGATTCTTTCTTGAGGAAAGTGGAACTGCTTTAAAGACCCCTCTGGACCCCAGATATGTTGACATTCCCTATTCCCAATAATCCACTGTGGGCTAGAGGGTACTTAGAGGTGGTCACCCCAAGGATCTGAGACCCTGTGATTATCACCAGCCCGACAGGTGGAATACTTGGTCAAGAAGAAGCATATCTACATCCCCAAGAATGGTCGGATTAACTTTACCTGTATCACTGCCTGCAACATAGATTACATCACTGAGAGCATCAATGAGGCTGTCCTCTTTACGAAGGGCTCATAGAAATATCTTCAGGAAGTAAACAACTCCCAGTTAGAATAAAAGCTTTAGTTTTTACAAAAATCCTGTGCTGATTACTCACCGCTATAATTCATTTCTCTGCAAAGCGCTCTCTCTCTCTCTCTCTCCTTATAAAGCATCAGTCTGGCCTCCAAAAAGGGGGTGGGGTGGGGAAAGGCCCAGAGAAAAAGAAAATGTCAATTTTCATATACCATCTCATATTTACTGAACACCTACCATGTTAAGGCCCTGATATGGTGTCTTAGATTGTTCAGGTTGCTATAACAAAATACTATAGATTGGGTGGCTTATAAATAACAAATTTATTTCTCACATTTCTGAAGTCTGGGAAGTCCAAGATCAAGGTGCCAACAGAGTCAATGTCTGGTGAAGGCCCACCACCTGGTTCATAAACAGCATCTTCTAGCTGTAGCCTCACATGGCAGAAGGGGTGAGGGAATCCCTCTGGGGCTTCTTTAAAAAGAGCACTTATCCCATTCATGAGGGCTTTACTTCATGACCTAACCACATCCAAATACCATCACACTGGTGATTAGGTTTCAATGTACGAATTTAGGCGGAACAGAAACATTCAGACCATAGCACCTGGGCATCAAAGAGAATATTAAAGAAACAGGTACAGGGCTGGCTGAGTGGTGCGTTGATTAAGAGTTGCTCTGAGCAGCAGGACCCCAGTTTGGATCCCACATGAGGACCTGTGATGCTGTGCTCTCTACAGCTAAGATGGTAAGCAACAGCTCAACCTGGAGCTGGGCTGCCGTGAGTCGCTGGTGATGGTGTAGGCTGCAGCCCCTGCTGCAGCAGGCTGCCATGAGCTGCCGTGAGTGGCCATCCAATGGCCAGTGAGCGACTGCCTCACATGGGAAGAGTACAATGATAATACCAACATGTGCCAATGAAGCGACGTCCTCCACAACTAGACTGAAGAACAAAAGGACAGCAACTTGTCTGTTCCCCTTCCCCAATGCCCGAATAAAATCTTTAAAAACAAACAAACAAACAAAGCAAACAAACAAACAGGTACAATCCAGTCTTTTCTCCAGAAGCTAAGTTGGGAGACAACCTTAGTCACATGAAACAGTTAAGTAACACTTCGAGGCTGAATGTAATAAAAAGTCACAATAGATTATATAAATGTGATGATTCTAGTTCCCAACCTTCATTTCATCCCAGCTAACTGAGTGAAGCAAAGATTTCATCCCTGCAGAAACTTTCCCAAATTTTAGATTCATGAGAAAATTTAATATTATTTCAAGACATTAAGTTTTGGTGTGATTTATTACACAAGTCTAGATAGCTGGAACAATCATTTTGTCTGTTATGTCTCTTTTGATCCAGTTTCATCCGTATTTTTTTCTTGCAATTTTTTAAAAATTGAAATATTGGGTTTTTTTTGTCCTGTGAGGTTTCCCACAGACTGAATTTTGCTAATTTCATCCTCATGGTATCATCTGACATGTTCCTCTGTCTTCCTGTATATTTTGAAAGTAAGAATTTAAATTAGAGGCTTGATCAGATTCAGGTTCAATTTTTTTTTTGTCTTGGTAAGACCACAGCATAGATGGTGGGTGGTGTTGTGTTTTGTCAGGAAGCATGGGATGCTAGCTTTTTTTACTGTGATATTAGCAATCATTGATGATCATTGCCAAGCCCCATTAATATATTATATGGCAGACTGGTGATATTCTAACATCATTTATTCACTTATTAGCTGCAATACTTTTATAAATAGAAATTTCCCCTTACTGATTTGCAAAATGTAAAGTACATTTTATATAGGAAAGGCAGAATTAAAGTTTGACTTCTTTCTTTTAATTTACCAGTTTAAAAAAAATCTTTATGAATTCATGGATTTAAAACAATTCGGTGTTTTATTTTCCTGCAAACATTATCCTTATTGATGTTTAAAATGACCCATCTATGACCTATAGGAGTCAATTCAAATTAGTTTCTGAGATCTTTTGGTACAACCCTCGTACTCTGATAGCTTCTTTACTTTCTGGCATGACAAAAAGTTCCAGGGAAATTTTGAACATTTTCTGTTCCATACCTGGAATCAATAATTTCTCAAAGGAGTTCTAATCACTTTTAGCAGATAAAAGTATTTACACACCACAATCTGGGCTCTTAAGGTGCCCATTGCTATTGGATTGGTCATTATTTCCAAATCCTTTCAGTAAAATAAAATACATTGAGTGGCTGTCTTCCTTCACAACCCAGCCCAGGGCACTGGAAACATGGAGGCTTAGGCTGAGTAAATTGCCAGTAAACGCATCTGGCTCTTCTAGACTGTAATAATGACCATTACTATTATATTATAGCTAGTGGTTGTTGAGTGCTTATTCAGAATAGTACTGTTCTAAGTGCTTTACATCCGTCTCATTTAGTTCATGTAACAATTCAAAGTTAGGTGGTTGTTATTATTATTATCCTCATTTTACAGTCTTGGCGAGCATCGGTAACCTGCCCAACCAAGATCCACACCCAAGGTAAAATGCGCGGGGTCCATGTGCTTGGTGCCCCGACTCCTGCTGCAGTGCAGCCTTCTTTCATCCAGGCTGCTCCCGTCACCCCTTCATTCTCATCCTCCAAAGGCTCTTGAACTTGATCCTGAGGAGGCAATAATCACCCAGAGCAGGCCCAGACCGAGGCTGCTTTGGCCCAGCGGAGCCTCCAGGATGAGTGCGAGCCCGAGGCCTAACGGTGCCACCTGCGCCCTGCGGAGAATGAAGAGCTGCCGAACTACGTCCGCCCTGGAGCAGACACTGTCCTATGTGGGGAGGAAAACTTGCCCCCTGTGGGGCTGGTAGTACAAGGAGATGAGGAGACGGGTAGCAGGGAGGGTCTGGTCGACAGCCTTTCTTATGACCCGCAAAGCCCTGAGAAAGGGCATTGGGGGCCACTAGCTGTTCAAAGGTGGTTGCGGGCAGTTTGTGGGTGTGCGCACTAAGCTTTACCTGCGTTTCTTGGGCTGCCTTCTCCCATTTTCCATCAGCTGTGAGTCCCACAAGACCAGTAGTAAAAGAAAAGGTAAGGGGTGGCGGTAGGTTGATTTGCCCCCGTCGGCCTACCTGGTGGGCAAGTGGTTGAGGACGCACCATAATCCCCAGCACCCTGTTTTGACAGGACATCCTGTTCTCTGCTCTCCGCAGACAGAAATGGCCCCAAGGTGTGCCCCAAATCCAGTGTTGGTAGGGGATCCAAGGCGGGAGAGGATGCCCCAGCTTCCACGGAAGCATCGAGGAGGGTATTCTGTGGCAGGCCAAAGGTGCGGCCTCCTGGACCCAGCGGACCTCAGAGACCCGCGGCGCTACCCCAGGCCGCACTTCCAACCATGAGTGCTCAGGTTGTGGGGCCAACGACCAGCCTGCGTCATAGGTGGGTGCACAAGTGTGGGGGAAAGGTGTTCTTTACCCAGGTATCGGCCTGGGGCTTTGGGCTAAGGCTGGGGCTCCCGTCCCTGGGACAATGACTTCTGGGAGAGCCTCGGAGAAGCCCCCTCGCCGCTGAGTCGCGGTGGGATAGGGTAGGAGTGCAGGTGGACGATGGACTTGGAACTGCTCTTGATGGTCCCCAGCTGGCCTTTGCCTTCGCTCGCGGTTTCCATCCTGTCCTGGCTCTAGGGTCTTCTTGCACAGCCAACTCTTGTGTACTCGCCTACTCTTCTCCCATGGGCATGCAACAGGGACCCTCATCCTACTTATGATTTAAGATTTAAGCGCCATTCTCTCGCTTGCTCACTGCACGCCAGCCACACCGGTCTTCTTCCAGTTTTTGGAATATAAAGGTCATTCTGTCTCAGGGCCTTTGCACACACTCTCGCTTTTGCTAGTGACACTCTTTGCTTTTTGCAAGGTCAGCTCTTTCTCACCGTGTGGATCTCAGCTCTCAGCTTAAATGTCTCTCTCTCAAAATGGCTTTTATCTAACCCTCCTACAAAGTAAGTTCTCCCCTTCCCCACAAACATATTTATTTCCTCTCTTTCTGATTTCCTTTGTATCTCTTGCTACACTTTGTATTTATTCTATTTTATTCTCTGACAATTTAATGTAAAACAGGGCAGGGGACATTTGTCTTGTCAAGCCTGTGACTGGCATGTAACAGGTTCTCAAATTTTTGTGATAGTGCTTTTATTAATTAATTGACTCCTTGCTCCATAGGGCAAGAGAGCCAGAAAATGCCTCTGGAGATAAAGCAGCCTACCCAGCTGTGCAGAAGTTTGTGCTGTTTGCAGCAGTTCTAGCTCAAGGCATAGGGTTGATCTGAAACTGTAGTCTTCATTCGCCAAATCCTCCCTTAGAGGCCTACCTCTGCGAGGCAGTATTTCTGGGCCCTCACACAGAACCTGGCCCTCAAGAGCTCAATAAGTGTGAGATACTAAGTGGGGGAAGGTGGGGGGACACCTGCAGCCTCCGCTCTTATCCATTCTCTCTTTGAGGCAAGCTCAGCACATCACCACATTCGTCTTAACACTGACCTCACACCACAAAGGTGAAGCTGTCACAGGGCCCTGAAGAAATTAATACTTTACCCAGAGTGGTCGATCTTTCTGTTCTTACCCCCAAATCCCTGGTGGCTACCACCAGCTGCCTCGTTTTCCTCCCCTTCTTCTCACCTGTTTACAACCTCTCAAATCTCTAGTCCTTGAGCAGTTCAGTTCAGACCCCAAGCTTATACCCTCCACTCAGCACAGGCTAGCCCTTAGAAGACAGTTTAAAGAGCACCTCTTGTTATTGGAACACCCTCCCTCCCACGCCTCCCCGGAGGTGTTGCCTCCCCCTACACACACCTGAACAGCTTACTTAACACTTCCCCAGTGAAATGGATTTCCTTGGATGGGGTGGGAAGGAGGGAGGGTGTATTCTGTACTTCAGAAAAATTAGCTTTTCTCCATTTTATTACAATTACAGAAATAAGGATAACTTAGTGGTTAGGAGAATGTGCTTTGGAGTTCAAATCTGTGCTCTGCATTTATCTGAATT